ATCTCCCCTCGTGTCACAGCGCCGTCTGCGGTTCCCAGCCGGCCAGCGAGGACGCATTAGGCGAAGTGTCGGTGGTGGGGAGGTGGTGGGGAGGGGGGTTCCCATCAAGACTCATTGCAGGGGGCTGGGAGGAAGCAGGTTCCAGCCCCTCCCGCTGCTGGAGGTGGGGCTGGACAGGAGCGCCCTGCGTCTTGCAGCCAGGACAGCCAGCAGGCTTTGGGGCTCCTGGACTTGGCAGGAATGAGAAAGAAGCCTTCAGGCCCCACCCCTATCAAATGCCAGCGTGCCCTGTAGGGCGTGCCTCTCACCTGCTCTGGCTGTGCAGATCCTGCTTACACACCTGCAGGAACGAGGAGCTCACTCCCTCTAGGGAAAGCCGGCTTGGTGGTGGGGACCGGAGGGGGGTCGGCGATGGCACTGCTTCCACCCCTGGATTCAGTTTTCATTCCTGGGAGGAAACCTGGGACCTTTGACCAGGGCAGCCACGGCTCACCTTCCATGGGACACTCTCGGCCCAGGAGTGACCCCTGCTGTCCAGACAACCTTGGAGGCATAGGACGGAGCCTGCTAGCTCCCCATGGCTGGGACTGGGTGGCCTTCTGGCCCCCTTCCGACCCTGCCATCTTGTGTTTCTCTGAAATGGGCTGTGAGCAGGGTTCTTTGTACAGCGCTGCTGTGGGAGGCAGGTGGGTGAGGCCAACATCTGGACCACGGGGGCACTGTTGGCCCCCACAGCTGGAGCTGTCAGCAGCCAGTGTTTTCACAGACACCATTTGTCCGTGCAAGTTCCTGGCCCCCAACATGCTCCAACTGCCCAGAGCCCCAAGCCTCCTGCCCGCAACTGCACGGGGAAGCGAGACAGCCCTGGCCCTGGCTGGAGTTTGGGTCGTCCCAGCAGCCTCTGCTGCCCCAGAGAGAGAGAAAGGGCTGAGAGGCCAGGGGGCCTTTGTGGGGGCCGAGGAGCAGGACAGGGCGAGGGAGAGAATTTGCGGAGTCCCAGAGACAGCTCGGTGCCCCCAGTTCTACCAGACCCTTGCTGGGTGACCTTGGGCCATTCTGTTCCTCTATCTCCCTAGCTGTCAGATAGGAAGAATTCCTTGCTGCCCAAATGAACGCCCCACCGTCGTTCTCTCCTTGGCTTCATGTTCTCGTAGGATGTGCCACGATCTGAGCTTCTCTGTCTTTTCCACCAGAGCACGAGCTCCACCAGGGCAGGGGCCTTGTGCTCTGGGCATCTAGAACAGGGGCAAGTGGTCTCCAGGGCCTTCTCAGTGCTGGGCACTCTCATTCCATTTGTTCCAAGTGAGATCTGGGTTCGAGCAAGGGAAGGAGGAGCCATGTGCTAAGGATAGCAGATGCCCAACAGAGAATTTTCTCCTGGAGCTGTGTGCGCACAGTGGTCTACGCGCTGGGCGCTAGGTGTGAAAGGCTAGACTGAGGCCCCCGGGGAAGAGGGCACAGGCCTGAGATTGCTGCCAGGACACAAGACCCATTGGAGTCAGGGGATGGGCCGTCTGGGGATGGGCCCGCGGTTGCACCAGGCACCCACAGCACCAAGCCCAGGACCTGGCAAAAGAAAGAGACTCAGGCAGTTTTTGCTGGTCAGAGACAATTGCTCACCATTTTGCACCTGCCTTAGCACGTCCCAGCTTTGCTTCTGGGACTTCCTAGGTGGGCCCTGCCACCTAGGAAGGGCTGGCTGTGCTTTTAGCATCACGCCATTGCACCCTGCCAGCACTGGGGTAGGTGCTGTACTATTATCCTCATTCTACAAATGTGGAGACAGAGACTCAGAGAGGGTTAGTGACTTGCCCAAGGTCCCACAGCCAAGAAGTTATTACACAGAGCCAGGATTTGAGCCCAGGTCTGAGCTCTCCTCTTTACCCTGCCGCCTTCTGTAAAAGGTGTTCAGGGTTCCGATGTGACCAGCTCCAGAGCACGTGAGGAGGCAGGTGACAGAGGGAGAGTGAGCAGGCTGCCATGGGACAGGCAGGGAAGACAAATAGTACTGAGTGCCCACAATACACCTGGAATTTCAGATGCTTTCTTAAAGAGACAGTTGCCATTAGTTGAGCACTTGCTACGTAGCGAGCAGTCATTGTGCATAACCCATTTGCATCTTCACAGCATCCTGTGAGGGATACCATGAACATCATCCCCATTTCACAGGTAGGTAAAGTGAGAGTCGGAGAAGCCAAGCCACATACCCAAGGTCTCCCAGGTAGAAAGTGGCAGAGCTAGGAGTAGTACTCAGGCCTGCCAGACTCAAACGCCTATGTTCTTAAGCCCTGTGTCATCTGACTGCAAAGGGAGCACCTTGCTTAGGAAGCAGGGGCGAGCACAAGAGGGAGAAAAGAAGAGCAAGAAAGAGAACCCCAGCAAGGGCCAGCTCACTCCTTGGGGACACGGGGGCCTTGGAAAGATAATAGTGGCTCCCCCCAGTACTCCACTCTAGACTTGTCAAGTCTGGGAGCCCCACGTTTGGCTGGGGTGGGGCTTGCTGGCCATGTGAGGGCTCTGGTGACACTACCTGCACAGAGCTGAGAGGCCCAGGACACGTAGATGACAGCACAAGGGCCCAGAGAGAGCAAAGGGGGCAGGATTCCAGAGGAATCCTAAGAAATCCACAGAAATTCTAAGTGGGAAATCACCAGAAAAGCTTCCAAAGGCAAGGATGACACTTTGCTTTGTAAATCAAGAGGAGCTTCTAGGAATGAACCAAGGGACTAGAGGCACAAGAGCCCGGCTCAGCAGAAGGCTGGCAGACACAGGGAGCCAGGCGTCGCTATGCTTTGTCGGGCAACTTATACAGAAGACATAGGAGAACTCAGAACTCCCATTTTACAGACGGTGAAACTGAAGCTCTAACTGGGGGCTGAGGGATCCAAAATTGCATAGTCAGGAAGGGGCCAGATATGGGTTGTGAACACAGGTTATGTGGTCTCAGAGTCTTAGTTCTGGCTGCTATAACAAAATGCCTTCGACAGTCATTTATAAATAATAGAAATTTATTGCTCACAGATCTGGACTCTGAAAAGTCCAAGATCAAGGTGCCAACAGATTCAGTGTCTGATGAAGGCTTGCTCTCTGCTTCCAAGGTGGTACCTTCTAGCTCGGTCCTCACATGGTGGAAGGGCAAAAAGGCTCCTTCAGAGGCTCCGCCAGCATTCTCCAGGCCGGCCCCTCATCCTGAGCCAAGTGGTCTCTTATAAGGGCACTAATCCCATTCATGCAGGTGGAGGTCTCATGACCTAATCACCTCCCAACTGCCCCATCTCTTAATACTATTGCATTGGAGATTAGATTTCAACATATGAAGTTTGCTCTGAAATGCCTCAAAAGGCAGGAGGGAGAAAATCCCCAGATCCCAGAGCTGTGTGCCTGGGGCTTGTGTATCTTAGCCCCGGAATCCCCTAGACAGCAGTATCCCCTTCCTAGAGTTCTCCGGCAAACATGAGCTGCTCTGGGCTGGAAGGGAGGTGGAGGACACCTATCCAAACCCCTCCCTCCATCCATGTTTTTATTGGGTTTTTTTTTGGGGGGGGTTGTTTGTTTTTTTGAGACAGAGTCTCACTGTGTTGCCCGGGCTAAAGTGCCGTGGCATCAGTCTAGCTCACAGCAACCTCAGACTCCTGGGTTCAAGCCATCCTCCTGCCTCAGCCTCCCGAGTAGCTGGGACTGCAGGCATGCGCCACCATGCCTGGCTAATTTTTTCTATATATTTTTAGTTGTCCAGCTAATTTCTTTCTATTTTTAGTAGAGATAGGGTCTTGCTCTTGCTCAGGCTGGTCTTGAACTCCTGAGCTCAAGCGATCCGCCTGCCTCAGCCTCCCAGAGTGCTAGGATTACAGGCCTGGGCCACCGCATGCTCGGCCTCCTCCATCCACCTCATGCTTAAGTCCTCTCGGCTACAACCACGTTGGGTGAGACTTCACTCGGCAGAGACAGGAGACAGCATTCAGGCCCGGGGCCTAGAGAGGCCATGTGAGACCAGTGTGGCCTGAGCAAGACTGTCGGAGGGGTGGGAAGGAAGGTGGGAAATTGACCGAGACTCAGGCTGAAAAGGACCACCAAGATCCTCTAGGCCAGACTCTCAGCCTGGGCCACAGGATCAGTGTCTGCTCCCGTTTCCCCTGGCCACCCTGCAGGGTCAGACAAACTAGAAGACTCCTTACAGCTCATCTAGCCTGATGCCTTCATCTCCAGATGGAGAAACTGAGGCCTAGAGAGGGAAAGCGATGCATGCTAGGGCCCGCTGCCAGTCAGCGGCAGCCCTGGGGCAGGCTTTTTGTGCAGATTCGGTAAATTAGTCATTAACTTGAAGTTGGTCTGAGCAAGGGTCCAGGCAGCCTTTGGTCAGAGAACTTTGTAGATGGAACCTAACCGTGTGTTCTCCACAGCGAGCACCCCAGTTCCTGCGGCCCTCCTCAGCACTTAGAACAGCACCTGCATGCGACACACAGTAGGAGCTCAGTAAGCATGTGTTAGATGAATAAAAGTTTGGGGCAGCCAACGGTGGCGACTTCAGGACAGCCGAGACGGCACCCCACCGAGTGGGCCAGTGGGAGCCTGGTGTCCTGGTGCAAGGCTGTGTGCTCCCAAACAACGTGCTTTTTGGCAACCTGCACTATGATGCTGTATAGGCTGGTGACAGGGCTGGGGACCTCAAGAAGTCACTCTCCTCTGTAGCCTGCTCTCTCTTCTCCAAAGAGGTGTCCATTTGGCCGTGACCCACCCACCCTACCTCCAGAGACCCCAAGTGAGCAGGAGAGATGTCTTCCCCCTCCCTCTCCCACCCCCGGCCATCAGTTAATGCAGGAGGTCTTTGGGCCACCATGTCGCGCTGCTGACGCACTGAGTTTCCAGCCAGCTAACCCCAAAGCCGTTGCTGCTCCGTTGCTCACTGCCTCATTACACGCCCACCTGCGTGGGCTGCTTCCCCGCCAGGGGCTCCAGCTGCGCCTGCTCAGTAGGCTCTGCCCTGTCCCCCCCCCCCGGGGAGACTTGGACAATGGGCAGGCAGGACACAGGCAGATGGGGAAACTGAGGCTTAGAGAGGTTAAGTAACCGGGCCAAGGTCACCCAGCAAGGACGTCTAAACTTGGATTTACATGGAGATCTGTCTACCCCAAGGCTCATGCTTTGCCAGGGGCTCTCCCTCCAGATGCCGGGTGAGGCAGGCCCTCTGGAAAAGTGCCCAATGGCAGACCCTTCCCTGTCCTCTCTGGTACAAGGCATCTGTGTCAAACTGACATCAGAATGTCTGGCCATGTGCTGTACATGCCACCTGTGTGACTAGGCAGGAGCTCCCACCTGGCTCCTTAGTAGGGGACAGATGGACGTTTGTCCCACCCACTGACTCTGACACTCAGAGCTACGGCAGGACTTCTGAGAGCAGGGCCTTGGCTTGCTTGGGAGGAAGCCCAGGCCTGGCACAACTCCCCCTCGCCCAGTCTGTCTCCCCTCCAGCCCCCTCTGGTTCAGGCCAGGGGCTGGGGAGCATGCTCAGAAGCCAGGCTGTGACTATACGAATTCGCGTCTGGAACCCAGGATTTCCCAGGGAAGGGGCGTCCGCAAATCCCACCCCTTCACCAAAGGGAGCGTCGCTTCTAGTTCTGCCCTGGCTTCGCCTGGCAAGGCAGGTAGGCAGATGGGAGGAGGGGCTACTGCTGTCCTATCTCGGGAAGACCCGGAGCCACGTGGGGCTGGGCCTGCCTGATCTGGTGCCAGCACTGGCTGGCTGAGGGGCGAGTAGGCGGCCACTCCAGGGACGACAGAACCCCGACACGCAGGCCCAGCCCCTGGGCCGCTCATCTTGGGCAGTGCAGGGCACAGGGCGCTGAAAAACAAAGTTCCAATGAGCTGAGAGTCTCAACTGCGAGACTGGTGTTGGGGAACGAAGAAGCATTACGGAGTGAGGGAGGGAGAGGGAAAGACAGATGGTCTTAAACAGACGGAGAGGCGAGAGAACGGAGAGCTGGAGCGAGCCAACGGGCAGGGCTGCGCTTGGGAGGAACGCAGGGCCAGGAGTCAAGGGGCCTGATTCTAGGCTCAGCTCTGTCACTGACGTGCCACGGGCCCCGTGGCCAGTCACTTCCTCTCTTTAGGCCTCCCAGTCCCGTTTGTCAGGCTGTGGGGGCAGGAGGAGGAGCGGCCTAGGTGCTCTTCAAGGGCCCACCAGCAGTGACCTCAAATTCTGTGAGGAAGAAATTGTCCTTCCTAGGCTGGCTCTGGCAGGGGACATTTCTGAAACTCTCAGCAATGAAAAATAGGAAAAAGCAAACTTTGGAAATGCCGTGTGTGTCTGTGGAGATTTCTCTATGAGTCAAAGCCCCTGGGGAGGTGGAGCACATGTTCTCAGAGGCAGGGCTGGCCACCGCCACCACCAGCCGCCCACCCAGCTCAGCCTCGGTGGGAACCCTACCCCCACCCTGCTGCCATGGTTCCTACCGCCTCACTAACTTGTCCACGGACAATTAGCTGTCTTCAGGCTAATCTTAATATTGTCACCCCAGGCTGGGCATGGTGGCTCATGCCTGTAATCCTAGCACTCTGAGAGGCCGAGGCGGGAGTGTCACTCAAGGTCAGGAGTTCAAGACCAGCCTGAGCAAGAGCGAGACCCCGTCTTACTAAAAATAGAAAGAAATTGAGCCGGGCGCGGTGGCTCACGCCTGTAATCCTAGCACTCTGGGAGGCTGAGGCGGGCGGATTGCTCAAGGTCGGATTCAAAACAAGCCTGAGCGAGACCCCGTCTCTACTATAAGTAGAAAGAAATAATGGCACTAATATATATAAAAAAAAAATTAGCCAGGCATGGTGGGCATGCCTAAGTCCCAGACTACCATTTGGGATGGACTTGAGCAGAAGGATTGCTTGAGCCCAGGAGTTTGAGGTTGCTGTGAGCTAGGCTGATGCCACAGCACTCTAGCCTGGGCAACAGAGTGAGACTCTGTCTAAAAATAAAATAAAATAAAATGAAATAAACAATGTTGTCACCCCAAGTGGGCATGAAGGGGAAGGAAGGGAGGGGGAGGGAGAAGTACACCCCCCAGCCAGCCCTTCCTGGGTGCCACACACAGAGCTGGCACCTTCCGAACATCATCCTCTTTACCCTTCACGATGGCCTTTTGGGTGAGACCTCAGGGTGCCTGAAACCAGCGCTGATGCAGGCGCCTGTTGTGCCAGCTTCATTCAGTCAGCAGGTGTAAGAACTAGGATTTAGAATTCAGGTGCCAGATTTGTGCCACTGCCCAAGACTGTCAGTGTATCCGCAGCAGAGGCCTCCCTGACAATCGGGCCTTGTCACTCTGACTCGTGGTTTCCTGTCCCACACGGCTCTGGCCATGGGGCAGACGCGGCAGCAACCTGATGGCTTATGGGAATGAGCTGGACGGAAGGAGGTGGCTCAGGGCCGCCTTGAGGAACATTATGGGGTGATCTGCCATGGGGATTGTGCCTCTCTGTGCCTGTGTCCCTTCCCCTTCCCCTGAGAGAAGTAGCAGGCACTGCCTAACCCTGGGATCCCAGGCGGCCCTGGGTGACCCCGTTTGGCCCTGGAGCCCTAAAGTGTGGGTGTCCATTTCCTCCTGAGGGGAGAGTGGGAGTTGCCACCAGCTTCCGGAGGAAATGGACACCCACACTTTAGGGCTCTGTTTCCCTGCCTCTCTCCGCATTCCAGAGGACAGAGCGGGTCGGGTCTCGCACAGAGTGGAATGCAGAGAAGCGGTGAGAGGCAGGGAAACAGAGCCACAGAGGGAGAGAGACAGAGCAGAAAAGGGAGGCAGAGAGAGGTTAAGACGGGCCAGAGCCAGGGCGACAGTGAGAACCAGACAGAGGAGACAGGCCCTGGGAAAGGAGACAGACACAGAATCAGAGATGGCGATAGACTGAGTGACAGGACAGGGAAAGGCCTAGAGGCAAAAAGACTGAGAAACAGGGACAAAAACGAAGAGCGAGAGAGACGAGACAGAAACAGAAATGCAGAGAAACCCAGAGGAAGGTAGAGGGCCAGAGGGCGCAGAGAGGGGACAAGAAGGGCGAGGAAGCAGAGATGGGGGCTGAGCGGCAGGGGGCCAGGCCTGCGGCGTCCCAGCTGTGGCCGGGCCCACCGCAGGGCCTTGCTCCCGCCCCACAGCCTTCGTCTCCCCCCTTCTCACTTTCCCCAGGGTCCGGCTGGGCTGAGACAGGCCTTGAGGGGCCCCTCCTTTCCTGCTTTCCTGCGACACCTGTCCCCACGCTCGCTGAGGCCCGCGTTATCCTGACGTGCTGCCTCCTCCGGCCTCCACCTGTCCATGGGTCCCGAGTCCCAACCCCGCCCTTTCCCAGCCAGCTGGCCCCAGGAAGCCAGGCTGCCGGGCAAGAGGTCAAAGCCTCCCGGGCTGCCTAAGCCCAGGGAGGGGCCACAGGGCTCCCAAGGAAGCCTCTCCCTACCTCTCAAGCCCTTCCTTCTGCTCAAGCTAGGCCAGGGAGGTCCAGTGGGCCAGCCCTTCTCTGCTCTCCTTTGAAGGCGTGGGTCAGGCAGTGGCCCTCACACTTCACACATTTCACCCAGTGACCTGGGCGTCCGTAGTCCGTAGCCGCATCTCCTCCCCTGGGCCCCGCAAGGCAGCGGCAGCGCCCACTCAGCAGCCCTGTCCGCTCAAAGGCCTGGGCGCCAAAGCTCCGCGGGGCTTGGGGAGGTGAGCGCGCAGGCTCCGCGAGAGGGTGTGTGTGCGCCACATCCTGGCGGTGGAACACTCCCAGAGAGCCACGGGCTCTCCACTGGGAAGGAGGGTGACAGGCTCTGCTCTCAGAGGGCCTGAAGACGATACTTGACCTGGTTAGGTAGAACAGCTGCTTCAGACCCGGAGGAAAGAATTTTCCATGTCAGCCAAAATGTCTCTGTCTGGGTGTCGTAGGATGTGAGGAGGGGTCCAAAGCCCATTTCCTCACTGCCTGGGAGGGCGGGCAGACTGGGGCACTCTTTGAGACATGGGAGAACGGACAGGTGCCTCTCTTCCACCCTGCTCGATCCCCTGTGCCCTGCGAAGGCTGGCGTGGTGCCCCCAGGATGGTTAAGTCACTCAGGGGTGCACGGAAGGGAGACAGGTCCTAGTGGGTGCAGAGAGGCTCGCCAATGACCTATGCCAGCCTGTCTCTAGAAGTTGGGGTCTTCTCCCTGCCTTCTGCCCCTGCCAGCCCACAGTCAGTGCCTTGGCTGGCATTCTCTCACCAGTCTGAGCTGTAACCCAGTCGCCAAAGGACTTCCCATGCAGACCGGTCACGAAGCCAAAGCTTAAACACTATTCCCATGCTCTCTACCCATTGCATACCTTGGAACACCGAGGCCTGGCCAGTAAGAATGGCTGGGTCAGATCTCCCTCAGTAGAGCCAGGGCCTTCAGAGGCCCCAAGTGACCAAAGTCTTCAGTCTATTCATAAATTAGTGTCACCAGCCATGGGGAGAAGTCCCCCAATTCCATCCCAGGACTTGCTAAGCATGGCTATCGCAGGGCCAGCTCTTGCTCTTGGTAGGCTGTGTATACACAGGGCGCCCGTGTGGCACCTGCCAGACAGCCAACCCACTTTATGTCTTTCAAAGAGGCAAACATTTGAGTTCGTCGACCCTAGATTTAAATCTGAGATCTGCCATTTCCTAGCTGTGTGACATTAAGTAAGTCCTTTAACCTCTCTGAACCTCCACTTTTGCACCTACCAAAATCAGGGTAACTGCTAGTTCCTGCCTGTCCCACCCACCTCACAAGCCCCAGGTCGGGGAGGGGGTGTGGGTCATTCACTCGTCCACTCCAAAAAGATTTATCAAACACCTGCTATGTGCCAGGCACTGTTCTGGGACCTTGGGGAGCTGCAGTGAACAGAAGAGACAAAGTCCCTGCCTCTGAGGAGGTTGTCCTTTCTAGAGGGAGGAGACAGGGAGTAAACCACAATTATCTAATGTGACATCAGGTAGCGATGAGTCCCATAAAGACAGGCCAAATGAGGGCAGAGGGTGATGGCAGCGGGGCCCGGCTCCGTCTGCCCCATCTTCCTGCCCAGCCGGGTGCTCACAGAGCTGCCCTCTCTGGCAGCCACGTGGCTCCTTGCTTGCGAGTGGCCCAGCCAGGCAGGCAGAGCAGGACTGATCTGGAAACCCAGTGGCCTGGCCTATTTCTGTCCCGGGGCCCTGGCGCTGGTCCAGCCCAGATTCCCGCCTCCCTCCCTTCCCAGGCGGAAACCCATGGCTGCTGTCCCTCCTGTTGGCCACCCCAGCCACCTCCCAGCAGCCCGCCTGAGCCCCGCTCCCCTGATATGCTTCCCAGCCCTCACCCCCTTCTCCTGCTCCGGGTGCAATGGGGCTGCCACCCTCCTCCACCCACGAGCTAGAAGAAGCAGCTCAGAAGCAGCTGGGGCTCCACTGAGCTGGTACTAATGCCATCCCTGCAATCTGACGGGAGAGGAGGGAGGAACGAAATGGCCTTGGCTTCTCAGAGCTCAGCCTCTGAGCTCAGCCCCTCCGGAGCTCAGCCCCTCCTCCGCCAGCCTCCTTGCTGGGGCGCCATAGGACACTGTGGCCTGGAGGGGGATGGGGGCAGAGCACCCTGGGGTGGGGGTGCAGAGCCTCAGTGGGATGTCTGAGGCTAGGGGAGGCTGAGGCAGCAGAGCAA